ATAATCTTTTTCTAGATCCAATTCATTATCAAGCAATTCATTTAAATTATCATGATTTGTGTTTTTCAAAGTGTTGCCAGCCTCAAACAGCATTACCATAGCAGTAGAAATAAATGCCATAAACCCAGAATTAAACACACTTTTGAAGAGATGTGGTTAATCAAACGTATGTTGATTTGGATTTTATTACATATCTAAATCACCCAAAAAGACATCTAGAAGAGATATCTATGTCCGATGATTGATGGTTTTGTTTGAGATGATAATGAAAGTTCTGTAATTGATGTATAGTTTGAGGTTGATGATGATGATGCAATGGTTTGATTCAAGTAATGTGTGATACCATTTTGATTGATTTGATTTTGTTGATATTGGAATCTTAGTGAATGGGTTAATATTCTATTAGACATGGTACTTGGATCATTCAGTGACTTCAATTGGTATAAAGGTTGATATCCGATTGAGCTTGAGCTGCAGATGTAAATCTGTTGGAATTACGGATGTTTCTTTTTGCTCTCTAAGTCTTTTCATCTTTTTAGTGCAATCAAATATCGTAATTACATTGTAATGAGCTTTGATATTTTTCTCTTTCGTGTTTCTCTTCAATCGACATGACATCATTGCTACCAATCACATATTGTTACGTCATTTACGTCATCATTCATTTATGTCGATTCTTTTTGTCTCTTGTGTTCTCTATATCAACTGATCCCAAGCTTCAGTTAGATGTCTTTCTTCTTCATCTGACTGTTTCTCTAAAACTCATCTTATCATAAGATTTGTAGCGTTGCTTGTTCTCAAACTTATTCTAAGATTTGTTTTTGTTTGTGTTTGGAATCAGGTAATGAACACATGATCTGACTGTTTCTCTAAAACTCATCTTATCATAAGGTTTGTAGCATTGCTTGTTCTCAAACTTATTCTAAGATCTGTTTTTGTTTTTGTTTGGAATCATTCCAACAAAAGCTAAGACTTGAAGTAGTAGCAGAATAATTGCCTCCGAGTGAGGATCACCAGAGAAGCTGAATCAATGGGGTTGCTGTAGCAAGTGTTGAGGTGATTGGGTAGTTGACTGAAGTGAGGATTAAAGAGTCAAAGTATGTTGCACAACCAACAATTCTTAGCAGCGGTGCTCAAAAGCAATTGGTTGGCTTGAAATTCAACAGGCACAGCTTACGTGTGCCCTAAGTTATGGTATACATAGGGTTTAAGCCACTTTTGAGTGAGGATGTGGGAGTTTAATCTGGTTTTGGGCAAACCAAGTTTTCTCTTAACTTGTATGATTTCACAACTCATTTGATATAATTTTCATAAGCACCCACTTTGAACTTTGATCAGTATTAGAATTTTAGGATTTATTAACAGGTCTGCAGTATTGCCATCTTTGATTTAAATAAATTATTATTTGTTATCTCATCAGTCTTTGACTGGTATTGATTATGATGTCTCATTTTTTG